TACGTTGTGTAGTATATGTGCAGCATATACAGTATTGCAGTATACATATTACAGTAAGGGCTGGACAGAAGGGCAAATAATATCGGTCTGTGACTGTGATACAGACTGGGACAAGGTATGGAAAACAAACAATTTGGACAACAGACCATTGTTTTGGTCTTTTAATTGTAAATATGATTCAAATAGCTTAACCTAGATTTCGATATCCTTCGAATGTACATTTGGTTGAAACTGGAAAATATACATTAATCCCAAGACAGGAACGAATGTTTACATATAATTCAAAAGTATGAGTGTCCATTTTGTCTTTTGTCTTCTACCCATCCCTACTAGACGAACAACTGGTCTCTGAAATGAACATATTTTACAGAAAAAAAGTTCATAGTAAAAAAGAAAAATATAATAAAAAGGAGCCCTGAGACATTCTCCTGAAGCTGTGGAACTCTAGACTTGCCACATTTTCTAGACTTGCGTGGACTTAGATATATTTGTTCAGGGTCTGTATGACAGACTACGTCCCTACATACGCTCAATCACAAGTGTCCCTAGGTCACGGAGAATCATTGGTGTAGGGGCTCGTATTGCAATTCTCGTGCGTTTGCATGTGTTGTTGACGCGGCATGGACGCCTTGTAACATCACTGTTTGATTATGATTCACAAACACATGCTCATGACATGGTCGGAATCATGCCACGGATTAGCAGATATTTATCATGAAAACAGGTTTTTATATAGGTGTCTTGAAACTTGCTTTTACAAAGGCCAATAGATTCGATCACAATACTTTTCCTTTTACAACTTCTTCTCTCTTAACATGCTGACCTCAAAACTGATTTAAATTTCTAATCGCTGATTAAAGAGTAAGACAATAAATAGTATGCCAAATTATCGTTACCATGACAACCCTGTGATATTTCACCTTATGTAAGAGAATAATAAATACGAGCTAGGTATGGCAGTACTACTGCAGTTGATAGTGTCTGTCGTAAATGTTAATCAGTTGCTTCAACGCTATCACTAATCACTGGGTATGTGTATACAATTATATGTGTGATGGAGGAGATCTTGCGTCGCTAGTTTTCTCAATAATCTGAATACATGTATGTAGCTTGAAACCGGCAGATACCTATAGAAGAAAGTGTTTGCCCTACCTGTAGCAACGATGTCCCTTGTATATAGAAGGGATATAATATGGGGATGAAAGGCATGTACTTTTATCTTGGCCCGTTTATGAAGATAAATACTGCGATCTTTCACAATAATCTCTCTGGCTATCAGATTGAGGGTACTTTTGAAACATAACTGGTATTTCAATTATATAATTGTATTTATACAGTAACATTCTTCAAACGTTCTCCACATACGTTCGTCAGATACATCGCGCACTACCCCTTTCTCTTTTGATCTCTCAAACGACTGTTACAAGTTCGGAGAATCCTGGTCAAAGTTGTAACGTCTTAAGACTACACCCTACTATTCTGTAACATGCACATTGTACTTAAAATGGGTAGAGCTTCCGTTCGGGGGAATATCAGAAGGACAGCGATACACTTGTCTCCAATGTTGTAGAAGACACTCCACTTACTTAGGAAAACAATAACCCAGTGAGATATTGCATTCATGTCGGATTAAATTTTTTCGGCCCCTATCAGATGTGACCTTGTACATGCGAGGTCAGCGTCTATGTCAGACTAAAGGTCTACGAGTTGTTTAGCAGCACTGGGGCGTAATAGTCATATAGGCCTGCTCCAAACAACGGAATATATATCTTTTGAGAAGGACTTCTCCGACGGGTAAAGGTACAGCAATGCAACATTACGAAAAATCTTTTTTTTCACTATTTTTTATTTCATGTCTCACAGAATATATAATTTGATGGGCGAGAGTTTTTAATATCGTTCTAACTTAGTCGAATTAAGTCAAAATGAGCTGAAATTTGTGTCATGATGCTTATAAACATACACTCATTCATTTACAACCTCCAAAACATGAATTCTGAACGAAATTAAACATTCTCGCCCATGGGCCAACATATTTTTCGCCCATGGGCGAGATTTTTTAATATCGCCCTAAGTTAGTCGAATTAAGTCAAAATGAGTTGAATTTTGTGTCATGATTCTTATAAACATACACTCATTCATTTACAACCTCCAAAACATGAATTCTGAGCGAAATTAAACATTCTCGCCCATGGGCCAACATATTTTTCGCCCATGGGCGAGATTTTTTAATATCGCCCTAAGTTAGTCGAATTAAGTCAAAATGAGTTGAATTTTGTGTCATGATTCTTATAAACATACACTCATGAATTCTGAGCAAACTTAAACATTCTCGCCCATGGGCCGGCCCATGGGCGAGCGAGTTTAAATCTAAAGTTTTCGCAATTTTTGTTTTTAATTTTTTCATCCTTGACATATATTCATAACAACTGCATGTTTCATTTGGTCAAATCACTTGTCAGAAAGTACCCACAGTGCGGAGAGTTTCTGGACTTTTGTGAGTCCAGAATATAATTGTGACGTGTTAATGACATTTGTTATACTGTTAACACAGCGATGGCTAACAGGTGGCAAAGTCTTGCCGTTATCAGTAACAAACAGATACAAAATATTCATTTAATGTTTGAGCTTTATCCAAATCTGTAAAAACTGAAGGTATCCCAGAATCATCAGTGACAAGAAGGGGAGTGGGCCCCGATGAAGTACTAACCACCTGATTGAGTAGACTGAGGTGATAAATAGTTATCAAAATTAGAATAAAAGTTTCCCTTGGCTATTCTTTTCAGATTATTTACTTTATTCCTTTGCTTTTTGTATTTAAATAGCTCAGACGTATTCAGAGATCCAAATGCTTTTTTCCTTAGACGTTCTCTTTTCTTTTAAGTATGTTACGAGAGGCGTTGAAAAAGTAGTCAAACTAACTATATTCTCGATGTCCAATGTTTGAAAAGAAGCTTCCATTTTATTTTGAAGGAATCATTAGCAAAGTCATATCCAAAATTTCATGTGGGTAATGTGGTTAACGAGATATTAGTCATCACAACATGTGGGTATTATGTTTCTTGCAAATTTGCAGAAAATGGAAAACGATCTCCCATTTGGTATCTAGTAATAGTAATAGTCCGCTTATATGGCGCTCACATCCAGGCACATTGCCTGCTCACGGCGACACTATCGTAGTTTCCGATACTTTTTCAACTCCCTGGGTCTCCTTTCACGAAGCAACCTTTACTAAGATTAACCTTAACTCCCATTCTTTAACATTGTACTGAGGTTACCTTAGTGAGTTACGATCACCTTAGTGCTTTTTGAAAAGGAGGCCCTAGGGACTGTACAGCCATGCTGCCTGTTAGGCGCAATGAACTAAACACTCACATTGCCAGCACATACTCACGGGTACCTATTTTACAGCTGGGTGAACTGAGAGAGTGTAAATCTAAGTATCTTGTCCAAGGATACTACGCAAATGTGCCCATCTCGGGAACCGAACCTCAGTGCCTCCTCGAAACCTGGGCCTTCAGCGTGACAGGCAGACGCCTTACCACTGCACTATTGCGCTATCCCTTCGATAATGGTATACCCTCAGATAGTATCATATAAAATATGTTCAGCATAGTATAGGATGACTTCCCGTCATCATCAACATTCAAAGATTTGGATTGCTTGATTTACATTTAGACGGGGACTGTTTTTTTTTAGGACACCCTCATTTTAAATTTTCAAAAACATTGTGTCCAGATATACAACATATTGAGAGCTGACACTTGTGTGACCATTCAGTATTTAGTTTGAACCCTTGAAACCATGTATGAATAAGTGAAAACTTTAGGATGAGTTATATCCTTTTGATGACAACTGAAAGGGGGTGGGTAGTGTCTCCAAAACAAGCCCTTTCAGTAAACATGAAGGGGGAGTCACTTGAACAAGCGATTATAGTTTAAAATTGCTTTTTTGTGCAGTTTAATATCTAAGTTTGACTTTAACCAACATACAACATGTTTTTTTGCATATTTTGTTTCAATTGGTGTACTATAGGGGGGATTCCCGCCAATAGACCTTGATATAAAATTGGATCAAAATCTATTAATTCTTTCCTAAGTTCGCGGCTACCAAGCTTGGCATGTGCAAAACTGTTACACCTTTGCTGTGACCTTTAAAATGACCCTAAGGTCACTAAATTCAAGTGGTGTCGGTAAATCTCGTCAATAAACCTTAGTACCAAAGTTGAACAAAATCCAGCATTTCTTTCTCGAGTTCTTTCAGTAAACCGAAGGGGGAGTCATTTGAGCAAGCGATTGTAGTTTCAAATTGCCTTTTTGTGCAGTTTAATATCTAAGTTTGATTCTAGCCGACCTCTACCAATCTCAAACATAGAAAAATGTTTCTTGCATATTTTGTTTCCTGAAGTTTAATTTGTGATGCAGTTCATTGCTAGTCAGCTAGGCTATTCCATTTGTCCGAACCACAACATACGGAGACAGATCATTTAGCAGACCGGGTGCTGTACTCTGGAATTGATTACCTGAAAATGTCAGAAAATCGGAAAATATCAACAGTTTCCGATCTTGTCGCAAAACCATCCTCTTCAAACGAGCATTCGACTAAGCGCACATGAGGAGGACTCTGGATATGTACGCTATACAAATGTCTAATTTGATTTGATATACCCGTTAGAAACCCATCCCCACCCAACCCCACTTTATATTTATACATATCAAAACCTCAAAAGATATTTGCGAAAAGACATGATACAGACGACAGTAAGAGATTTTATATCGATTATATATCAGGACGAATATCATTTTCGTCATTTGGTTAAGATTTGTCAGTTCTTTCTTGGGTTATCGCGCTAACAGTCTTTATATTGGCAAAACCCTCAGATTTTTGCTGTGACCTTGAAAATTATCTCAAGGTCACTCCATTTCACTTGTGTCGGTGAATCTCGCCAATATACTTGAGTCGTTGTTGCTGTGAGCCAAAATCATGAATTCGGTTTTTTCGTCATTCATTTTCAGAAAATTGGACTAAACCCAGGAGCGCACCTCTTCGACACAGGTCTCTAGCTGAGTTTTCCGATCACTTAATTGGGATGCTTTTGCACTGATGCACACTTGGCTGTCATCTGAGTAAGTTAACCCCATCCACCCCAGGTTCAGAGCTTTCGTGAAAAAAATACTTATAAATACTTATTAACATTTATTGCTGAGCTGGTAGAGAGAAACTAGTATGCAAGAATGTAGAAGCTGTTTTTGAATTATTCCACTGGATTAATTCTTCCTTCCAATAGTCACCTTTCACTTTATGCTGAGCAATATTCAAACACTTCTTTGATGGGCATTTTAGAAGTTCAGGTGATGAAGAACGATGATAATTTTATGGATATACAACTTCTTTATTCTTGAGAGGCGACGTTTCGATTTAGATTCTAATGTCGTTATCAAGCAACTGGTAAGATGAGGGTTACACGTCAGTGACGCAGTAGAACATTACGTCCTCTCCTCGTTCACGTTTGTCGGAAGCAATATGTGACCTATATTAGAATTGGAATTCTGTTTTATATATATCACGCCGTATCATTGAAGACTTGCTTCTTGGTCTGTGATACTCGGTTCATATTTGCATTATATGACAACACTTTGAAATATAATGTTAAACAGAAGCGAGTAAACAGCTTCCATAATCTCAGAAACTCTCTGCTTTATATCATACACATGGTGTTATAAGACATTATCAAAGGATTACCGATACCGTCCTCATCGATGTGCGTATTGTCACAAAACTTCTTCCAGGAAACATCCTGAACATGGCAAGAAATCCCAAGGAGACGATCCGCCGACGTTAAGCACTTTTATTAAATCCATGAGCACAGGTACTGGCTATCTACTGGGCGAACTTGGAATCAGATCGATCAGTGGATTCGATTATAAGACACAACACTTCGCTGACGTGTCCCGGACCACTGAACAACATCACAGATATAATATATAAGTGCAGTTAAGGCAAACCCTATCGGCAAGACTTGGACCTTCATAGTATGGTAATATCTCCCTATATTATTTATCGTTTAAACTCGAATAGGTTCTTGGTATTTTCTATTGTACAGACAAAGTTTAAGTTTGTAGATTCCAAGGTGAAGAGCATGGAGCAACGCAATGCCAATACTGGCACCAACCAAAACGCCAATTGTCAGTCCTGGTTTGTTCCAGTTCAGCACAATGCGGTAGATAACACGACTGTGATCGGGCGCCCAGAAGAATACAGTAAACATTACATAGATAAATCCAAAGATGAAAGGGTAAACTACGTGACACATTCGCACTGGGCGTCCGTTGACGATGACATCCACGACGATGAAGACGGTGTTCAGAGCGTGGACGTTGATGTTGAAGAATCTCCCGCAGGTGACATCCTTCGGACAGATAGCTGTAGTAAACGCCTGTCACAACGATCGCAAACACAAAAACAATATTGGACAGTATCCATGATACTGGAATGGTCACGTGTTTCAAGAAGTGGTCCCGACACGTGATCCACTTGTTGCTGGTGTTGTTTTCAGAAATGTTGCTGGCGTCGTCGTTGGTGTCGGGTGGTGTCGGGTAGACCGTCCTGGTTCGAGGAGTCCTCATCACTTCGTCTATTCCTCACAGCAGAACGGGATTGCAGACAGTACACTGATACATGGTGAGTACATACGATGAGTGTGGACAGTAGGAAGTGGAGGAGTACCGTACAGTAGGACCAGGTGGTGAGGAACACGCCGACATCGTACTTGAGAACAGCTGACTTGTACCACAGTGTGAATGCAATCAATGAGTAGATCGTCACTACCCCATAGAACAATGCGAGGGCTATGGACGGGCACCAGCTCCACTGAAACAAATCAATAATGGAATGATCATTTTTCAAGTAACGATACACCTTTTTGGAAAGGAGGTTTGTTTGTGAGTTCGTCTGTAGCTTCACGCCGCACTATTCCAGATATAAGGCGGCGGTCTGTAAATAGTGGAGACTGCTGAAGGCACTCGTGAAGGCACTGCTTCATCCCCATACTCATGAATGCTCTCCTTCAAGCCCCTCATCCCACAGTTTCATCCTCTCACCCCACTCTTCTGAAGGCTCTACTTAATTCCCTTCACTCCCACGACCCTGAAGGCCCACCTTCACCCCCAACACCTCTGAAAGCTCTCTTTCATTTCCCTTTACCCAACCCCTCTTAAGCCCTGAAGTCTCTCCTTCAACACCCCCACACACACACACACACACATCCACGAGAGGCTCTCCTTCATCCCTGAACCCACACTCCTGAAGTCTCGCATTCGCCCCCACAACCCTACACCCCTCACACCTGAAGGTAATCCTCCACTCCCCTCACACCCCACCCTCCCTTTACCCTAACATCCCTAAATGCTCTTCTTCATCCCCTGGGGTGGTGGGGTGGGGTGGGTTGTTCCCCTCTCACCTTACAATTTTTTTCATAACCCACACATTAAATCAAACATGGGCAGTAACTCTAGAAAACCACCACGTGGTCTGTTACTGCTGATAAATAATTCATTGGCTGCTGAGGTTCAGCAGTTGGGGATACGGGTTGGTTGTGAAAGTGGGTGCCTTATGTGTCAAAGTATATTCTAACAAATAGAAGCGACAGCATCATTTCCATAATCAAAGAAAACGCCCCTAAAAGCAGAATCTATTGCACGTTCCACCAAACATGAATTTCACTAATACTGATAGCAATTATTCAGTGTACATATAAACAAACAAGGTCCCTGTACGAGAACAAGAACTGAGGCCACATGTGACCTGTGACCTGTGCACGTGACATGTCATACCCGACATATTCCACACGTGTCGTTATGAATGCGCGTGTATTGTTCTGGATGTGTTATATGAAATAGATAAGGTCCACATCCGAAATTCACAATCCCCAAAATAACGTTAGTAGAGCTCTGATACATTTGTTAGGGAGTGTATATAATGTACACGTATGTGGGTTATGCAGACACTCTTACCTGTGATTTGGTGAAGGGTTCTATTTTCTCGGGGACAGGAGACAGTTGCCTCACAAACAAACGCAGCTTGCTCTGTACTTCAGCCATTTTGTACAAACGTCAGTCACGGCAATATGCACCTGTGAATTGACATGACACGAGACCTTGAACGCTCAGGTATTTGAACAGGAAGGGGTTCTCACCTTCCATAGAAGTCTAAAGAAAGCGTCTCATGTTTACGTGTGAATAAACAGGTAACGTCAGGTATAAGAAGCCAGGACACGTCTCTTCACTAGTTTCTCAAAATGGAATCAGCCTGAATTCATCCAAAACTCGGATTATAGGGTGAGAATTTTATGGTGTCTCTCCCGAGTTTTCAGGATAGCGATAATGGATTCTTAATGCTGAGAACTTGACCCGTATAATGTGAACAACTCCTCTCACTCTTTAACTCTATCCTGCTGAATTAATTTCAGCATACGGCGTTATAAAGAGGGTGGGTGATTTCAAACAATTGTTCCGTCATTAAATAAGGGACAACTGAAAAAAATATTTTGCACATTAATACTAGATAGAGTGAATATTATTATCAAAAAATATCCTGATATTTTCAAACATACAGAGGTTAAGGCCAAAGCAATTAAGTTTTCTTGAATTTACCTGAATTACTTGATTGACAGTGGAGTGCGTTTCATATTATAGGAACCTGTATAAATCGTTAAATTAGCGGCAACCGATTTCAATATTCTTATCTCCGATATCGCATATTCAAATGAGTTTAAATTCGCATATTTGCATCTGCAAATATCAATGCGACGACAAATTAAAACCGTTTCTGAAAAATATATTCGACAACGTTAGTCGTAAACAAATCGTATTTTCGATGTCATCACATCTTTTATTCAAATGACACTATTACATTTATTCCAACGTGTCATGTCACGAAAATTTCAGAATATAACACATGATTTATGAATATTCACCAGTCCTAATTTCAAGTGTTAATGTTTAATATTTTCGACTCTAACCTACATAACGCAGGTGTTGTATTCCGTAACACGTACGAAAATAAATCATATAGCTATTTTAATCAGAGCAAAGTTTACACCACTTTCATGTATAAACCCTGGCGAAATTTGACGAACCGTTTCTTCTACAAGTGTTCCATTCATCATTTTCAGTTGAATATGACGAGAGAAAAACGAAAATTAAGATCGCGAAATCTAACTTCGTTTTGCTAGTAAGGGCAAAGGTCACCGGATGTCAAAGACAGATGTTGTCTACCAGAAATCTTTGTTGAATGTTAACAGTAAATTTGGAAATATGTGATCTTTCAAATCCAATTAATGCCTATTTAGTATGATTAATCATAGCTCATAGGAAAACAACTTTGAAAGCTATACTTGCTGAGGCAACCAAATTATATAAATTTTGCTCCTACTTTGAGAACAAAAGATGTGCTGATTACCTGTTTTAATGTCTAAAATAAATACCGATTTTGAGTGAAATTAATTCACATAGACGATGAATATTTCTTGATTCCATTATTCCAAATTTTAGGAAATCCAATTACCATAAATATAGTTTCTACACTAGACGTGTTTTCATTCGTGTCAGTGAACTACAGGTCCTCCATCATGAATTGACATCTACAATTATCAGAATTGTCCATCTTGTGACGATAGACACAGAACAATATTATGTGATTGTTATGACATACTGACATTTTATAATATCATCCCGTGTCAGAACATTATTCGAAAAACATCGACCGCGAAATCCATCACGACTTCGGATTTGTGGGAAAAAGATCTTACGCACCGGCGGCAATATTGCGAAAAGAAAAATATACAATAAAAGAAAAAATGACAACTACAGTTTATACCAATTAACAGTAACCAAGTGAAGGTGATGTAAAAGTTAATTATACAATATATTTTGCATTTCACGGGAATCTGAATCTATTTAGAAAATGTATCAATGGTAGCTCTCCAACTCGTGCATATTTTACCTCGATGTGCTTCCGGTTTCATCAAGGGAATATACAGTTACAAATACTGTGATTAGTTTTCATGATCTGCATTATTTAGATATTGAATCGTTTTGTTAGGATGTATATAAGTTTAGATTCTGCTTATGAACTCGTATTTTCAAACATTCATCGTGTCTTGTCACCTAAACAAATTAGGCCAAGCGTGTCACCTACGGCTGTCAACAATGTCAATGTTAGAAGGTTTATAAACTCGCTAAATATGATACTTTTTTCACAAAGACATTAACATTACAGTTGTGAAATTAATTCCAGCGAAAATAGTTGGGATGACACAACTTTATGGATGATCAACTCCTTTATTTTAACAATAGCGACGTTTCGGTATAGGTTCTTATACCGTTTTCAAGCGTTTTCGTCGCTATTGTTAAAATAAAGAAGTTGATCATCCATAAAGTTGTGTCATCTCTATACCAGCAACTTCTAAAATGCCACTCAAACAAAAAAAGAAAATAGTTGGATATATTAATAAGATGGGAATAGTGTTTTCGCTACCACGATGCATGTGGAGTTGTTTGTTTACCGCCCGTGATCGTTCCTATGCATCCAATCCGCGATATATCATTGAGATTGTTTTTGTTTATGATTAATTAAACAAGCAGTTGCTATTTTTTAGAAAGTAGGGAACTTAAGTGTTTTCTCTCCACCAAGGAACAAAATTATTGAACAAATTGTAAAAGAAATGATTTCATTATGAAGATAATATATTAGACTTAGTACCACTCGACATGAAGTGCCTGAAGTCAACAATGGCCAATGTTTGTGGCTGTGTGCGGAGAAATTTGGGGGATACATTTTAAATTCGCGGACTTTTCGTGCTAAGGTACATAAACAGTTAGTACTTACAGTTTTATATTTAGTAAACTGTGAATTCATGCATTCCATACATATTTGAAACGTAAATCCTACTTGGTCAGTAGTTATTGTAAGTTTTAGTTGGGGGTGTCATTATGCTGCTCTCCTGTCGAATGGGTTCGACAGCAGCATTGAGAGGCCGCACCCAGCATTACGCCAGCAATATCACGCCGCCTAGACCTTATATATATAATTTGAATAACATGCCATAATGTAATGCTTTTGAACCATATAATTTAAATATGTAAATATTATTATTCGTTGTCGGAAAAAGCGAGCCTTCAGACCACGCACCCCAATGTCACCCCAACCCCTACCGACCTAACGCACACACACACATACACAGTTTAGTTCTCTCCTACATGAATAAATGGACCGGGAGTGGAACACGTGTATTGGACAAAATCTCAGGAGTTGACACGAGTCGTGAAAGGATCAGGTGACTCTGGGTTTGGTGCCCTTGGTGGATCCTTGTGTTTCAGCACCAAAACTTTCACATCGGGCTTTTCACCCACGCTAAGCTGGCACGCCCTGCCAGAGCGACACATATATTGTTCCACATAAATTCAAAACGTACGTTTCACGCACTCAAATACACTTCACAGATTTGAATTCAGTGGGAAATTTCCAGTTTCTTGATGTCACCCACTATCATCTTAGACAAGGCAAAAGTACTGAAAAAGATCTTTCAGAATTGGGCACATCGTAAATTTCGCCATTTTCGTAATCGCGATTCACCTTGTTATTGTTTAGTACGTTTTGAAATGTAAAAAGAACGGATAATTATTTGGAGGATTGAATTTTTGAAAATAGAATATTAATTATCACTGAAATCAGTTTTTAATTAAATCAGCAATGGTAATAAAAATTCTGAAACGTCGCCGATAAACCTGGAATCGGTTAAGATGTTTTGGAAAATACATGAACACGAAAGCCCAAGTGAACTTTTCGCCATATTGGATATTGCATGGTGACAGATCGATCACGAAGGCCGGTCATGTGACGCCTATTACATCACGTATATTTGACACTCTGCGACAAATACATCACTGAATTTCTTATACATCTTACAATTAAATACCAAATGGTCTTTGTCACCAAATCCAAGGGTCTAAATTAAATCAAATGAAACATTTTAGGCGTGAATACGAGGACAAATTCAGGATTTACGCGGCGTAGCATTTTCTCAAATGTTCAGACATCTAAGGGTCTATTCGTAGCATGCATTGGGTAAGTAAGTTTAGAATTTGCATGTGTCGTAGCAAGAAATAGGAAATTGAAAATAGATAACAACATAGTGATTTAATTGATATCAAATGAATTGTCAAAACGTTTCCGTGCAGCGTGACGCCATGACTCACGCAGAATGACAACGGTAAATTTCGGCATTTCTGACTTCTTCTTTCTTACAATGAAAACATTAAAACCAAATAACAATAGACAGCCAGAATCTTTCTGAGTAGTTAACCCCACATATTTATAGACACACGTTCCCTGGATCACAGGAACGCCCCTTGCAAAATCCTGCTTACCGACACTAGCGAACCCTCCATTTTGTTTGCAATCGGTCATCGACAGTGATGTCATATGTCAACATTGTTGTACATATTTTGCAATTTCTTTGAGGTGAAGGTCGGTTGAATAAGACTAAACATAATCACCCTATCTTGCTGCTTAAATAGTATACAATGTAATTTGCGTGGCGTTCAGATATTTTTTCGCAGGAAACTAATTTCATTATCTACCTTGCCCTGTTCAATATTATCATATGTGGATATAGGCTATACATTTTTATCTTGTGAATGTTTTTGTTTGTTTGAACAATATTTACATGAGAATTTGACACATCTAGCATAGTACACCATATTTTTAACATTTACACAAGTGTTAAAAGAGTGACTGAGTGAGTATGGTTTTACGCCGCTTTTAGCAATATTCCAGAAATATCACAGCGGGGGACACCAGGAATGGGCTTCACAGTGTTAACAGAAGAAACGTAGGCATAACTGCAACATATAGATCAGCATGCAGCCGTCGTACTGTGTATGACTTGCGATGTCGTCTACAACAAACTGGCACCACTTCTGATCGCCCAAGGTCGGGTCGTCCACGTGCGACGTCACGAGCAAACGACCGTCAAATCGTCCTACGTCACAGATTTCTGCCGGCTACACGAACCAGGGCTGAGATGTTTAGAGGTCGACTGTCCTCACAGACCATTCGAAATCGGTTGCGGGCTGCCAATCTCCATTCTCGACGTCCATATCGTGGGCCAATATTGACGCCGTTTCATCAACGTCAACGTCTGCTGTGGGCCCAACGTCACCTCCGATGGACCCAGAGAGACTGGAATCGATTCGTCTTTAGCGATGAATCCAGGTTTACCCTCAGATTCGCGGACGGCAGGCATAGAGTCTGGAGACGACGTCGTGAACGGTATGCCCAATGTTGTGTACAGGAAGTCGACAGATTCGGGGGCGGAAGTTGCATGGTGTGGGGTGCTTTCTGTGGGAACAACCGTTCCCGACTTCTGGTCATCCGTGGAAACCTCACAGCTGCTGCTTACCGCGACCAGGTGCTCACCCCTGAACTCGTTCCTTTCATGGCGCCTCATAGCCCAGGTCTACAGTTCCAGCATGATAATGCTCGGCCGCATACCGCGATGTTGACACGAAATTTCCTTCAAAACGCTGGAATAAACGTCATGGACTGGCCATCGAGGTCCCCTGAGATGCACTTGGGAGAAGGCTTCGTGGTCTTAGGAACCAACCTCAGAATTTGCACGAACTTGGCGCTGCCTTGCAAGAGCAATGGCGCAGAATCCCCAACCACGTGTTCACAAGCATCCGGCAGTCGATGAGGAGACGGTGTTTGGCAGTGGTGAATGCGCGGGGCGGCCATACACGATATTGAACTGAGAAATTTCGCATTTTTATTCTTGTGACTTGACATTCTGTATACCCATGTTTTGGAACGGCGGTGTAGCCTAATGGAACTGATTATGGCACTGTATTGTATACTTATGACGAAAAGTATATAGCCACTTAATCATAAACAAAGAAAAGTCATATCTTAAAAAATATATTATATTTTCGTGTTTTGAAATATTCTTTTTCATTTACGTTGAATTGATTCATAAAATAATTTTCCAACGTTAAAATACACAGTCAAACCCTCTAATTGTTTATCTATTCAGGACATTATTTAAATGGTAAAACCAGTAATTACATGTTCTGCCGAAAGAGCGTCAAATTCTTACAAACAAATCGAGAAATTTTATACAATTAATGGAAATTAGAAGAGATATATACTAATCAACAAACCGTATTTCCTCTAATAAGCGCATGGGGCTTATTGTTCCCACGGACTTCCAGACCCGGCGCTTATTAGAGCCCCCCGGCGTTTTGCCCTTACTGGGTGTTATTACGGTAATTGTTATTGAGCTGCTTTACCCCCAGCGCTTTTCAGATATTCCGGCGCTTAGTAGGGAAAATACGGTACCAATGACGTCTTCCTCTGACGTCGTAAAACACAATAAAGCAAGCTATGACGTCAACTTATTATAGATGATGTACTGTTTTCTGTAATTTCATTACAAGAAGAAGAAGAAGAAGAAATGGAGTTTATTACTGTGTCACATGCTGAATTACAATAAACGACATTTCATTGTTCCAGGGATTTAAAATCAGCATCCGGCCATATGGCCTATGAGACAAACATCACAGTTATATCTAAAAATCACTGATAGTAAAGTCACACACACACACACGCACGCACAAAACACACAAGCCCAGACATATACACAAACGCACACACACACATACAAAAGACATTTGAAGACATGGCTAATACTCTGTTAATAATGACGCAAAAATGCATGTACACATACAGGAGATTATGGGGATCTGAAAACTAATTTACATGCTGGATAGGGTAATCCAACTCGATTTTACGTGCTTTCTCATGTAATACCATGTCATAATTTCTTATAAATTGTATTACTACCAAAACGTATCCGGTTACAGTGAGGATGTTTGTTTAGGAATAGTTTTGTTCATCGTGAACAAAACATCACGACAATACAGTGCCCGCAGCAAATTTGACCTGACTTTAAGCACTGCGTAGTACTGCCTCCTTATCTTTATACGGCTGTGACCTCTCGGTCGTCGTTTGACGTCATAGAGGAAATCCATTTTCGTGATTTATTGCAAGTAAATTTGCACATACAATGTATAACGTTATATATAAGTACATAAACCCATTTCACATATATCTGGAATTATTTTGTTCACTTTCTCTAAAGATGGCAAGTACAAAAAATCTTCGCACAGTGCTTTATCGGTGTCCGATGAAAAGCTGAGAAACTTACTGTTTATTAATGCACAACGCTGCTAAGTATTTGCTAAGTATATTGTTGACACTATGACTAACATAAACAGTTCATACGTTGAGTTAATTTGTTTTGTTTTTGGTTTGCTTGTTGATTTACTCTGATTTCATCAGTTTTTCAAAGTATATGACGGCGGTCTGTAAATGATCGATTCTTGACCAGGCAATCAAATGGCAATCCAATGATCAACAACATCTACCCAATTAAGATACGCTAACATTTGTCAACCAGGTGAGCCAGTCTGACCACCCGTTAGTCACCTCTTACGACAAGCATGGGTTGCTGAAGACCAATGCTAACCCAGATCTCCTCGGGTATCGCCAAGATTGTAAACGTATGACATCTGTGTAAAACCCTTGTCACTCCTGACCACAAGAATAAAAGAGGATGTGATATATTGTATGAGAAGTACTGATAAGAATCAGTGTTCGCAGGTCAATTCAGACACTTTGGAAGCACGGACCTCTTTAACCTCGAGGTGTCAGTATTATAGTTTGCCTATTAACTCTCTTTACCGTATACTTTCCTGTAGATGTACAGCCTAAGTTGATAAAGACCAAAGTATACAACTTGCAGTATAAACACAAGCACAGATATGCCCAACATTATACCAACGGTGGACCCGGGCGTGGACCAGTCCAGTATATATTTGTAAATGATGGCCTTGTCTGTAGCCCAGTAGATGAGGCTGAAGATCATATACACCGCAGCGTATATCAACGCATGGATAAAATGTAAGATTCGGACAGGTCGCGCCGTGATGAAGGTGTCCACGATGACGAAGACTGTGTTGAGGCCATGGACGTTCAGATTTGACAGTGTCATTCCTGATGAAGGATCGTATAACGCACCGAAGTAGATCGACGTCACAATGATGCAGGTATCGGAGGTGATGTTGGCAAGGATCCAGGATATCTTGGAATACCAGGGTGTTGTATTTACGGGTTGAGCCTCACTGAAGTCTGGAGATTTGGATTCTGATTTTGATCCGCCAGTGCCTATCTCATTGTCAGTTTTAATGGCACTGTCTTCATGACTTTCCTTCCCCTTGTCGTGGTCGCTGTTAGTCGTAGTTTCACCGACGTTTGCGGAGGGGGCGTTTTCTGACGTTGGGTGTGTTTTGGTAGTCGTCCCGGTATGTATATAACATACAACAGCAACAACGAAAGCAATGAAGAAATGTAATGTAAGAACCAGGTATGACCAGTTGGTTAAGTACACCATTGGATTGAACACGGGTTCTGTTGATGGTCCGTCGCTGCTGTTGTCGGTCTCGACTTCTGCCAGCGTGTAGATGAGGGCAAACAGTGTATATCCCGCCATCACTAGACGGTAAATCAGATATATTGGACGGGGCCATCTCCACTGAAAGTAGACATTTAAACATACATGAAGAGACTTTCAGTGTTTTCATAATAACGTCAAGTGTTACATGCAATGATACAATAATGTTGTTCTATTCGCAGTATTACGAACAATGCCAATATAGATGAATTTATACTATTAGAATTTTGTATCCGATAATATATCATTTGTTACCCAGAATGTTTTACAAATTCGTTACTCAAATTGTTTTACAATTCGTTACACAATTGTTGTGTATGCTACACTGTATGGGAAAATTGAACATGTATAGTCTAATAAGCAACACTATCATACGTTACGAAATGAAAGTTTCAAAAGTGTCGAATGGTTTGCTTCCAACCCCAGTCAGAAATTCCCAGCTTAATCGTTCGTGGATGAGAAGTATGAACAGATGAGTGGCCCAGGTACATGTACGCCTAAAAAGTACAACACAATCTCCCAGGCGATAACGAGAAGTCCCCAAAGTGCATTCTCTGATCAATAAACTCGCCATCTAGTGCCCCATCTCACTGTGGAGACGCATGCATAAATTATTCTAGTGCATGCATATATTACTCTAGGTGCATACATATATTACTCTAGGTGTATGCATATATTATTCTAGGTGCATGGAAATGTTACTCAGGGTGCATGCATATTTTATTCTAGGTGCATGCATATTTTATTCTAGGTGCATGCATATATTATTCTAGGTGCATGGATATGTTACTCAGGGTGCATGCATATTTTATTCTAGGTGCATGCATATTTTATTCTAGGTGCAAGCATATATTTCTCTAGGTGCAAGCATATATTTCTCTAGGTGCATTACTCTTGATCTATGCACATAACACAAATGATAACATCCTTGGTTAAAGAAGACCGTTCAACATTGACTGTTGGGAACTTCAAATACACTATTATTAACGCAGGCTTGGGGGACACATTGTTTGGCTGGCATTTCTCGGGGGGTTGACAGATGACAAAGTGGACTCCGTTATACACTAACCTCCCCTTAAAAGCTAAGACAGACATCTTCTCTACAGTCGCCAAACGAGCCTTCTACCTTTCTCCTGCTGTGGGCGTTTCAAGTGTACCATCTGAATAATTTAATACGGTTTAGTTGGCCTCTTATTTACTTGGCTTCCATTGTGCGTTCTCTGGTTACAGTATAATCCTTTTGTTGTTATAAGGTAACCTACAGTCTACCATCGTTACTTCCTCGTACCTATGATAATTTTTGCAGTTAATCCGTCATAAACATTCTGTACCATGTTCTACACTCACTCTTGCTTGACAACGGTATATACAGATCTATACCTAAACGTCGCCATTGCATCATAATGAAGATGTTATCCATAGAGTTTTACCTATATTGACGCACATATAGGTTTCTTGTTGACCAAGTACTCGTGCTGCTGTGTGTGTCACGACAACAAACATTGGCCGCACCTATTTATGCATCGACAACGTCCAGTACTTTATGTGTACTTTGCAGTACTACAAAACATTCACCGTTTCTTTTGCCTTTCAGTCCTGGACAGTTCCACCGACTGGTATTATACACCAGCCATCCACCAGCACAACAATACTGGAGGCCCCTGTCGGTCTGCCCACTGCGCCGCCCTTGTCGCAGTTTGGCAGCCAGGGAACAATGTATCCAAATTTGAGTAATGTCGTCAATTTGGACGATATTATGTGATGATAAAATCTGATGACTGCTTTATAATCAGAGTATGGAATAACAAGTGGTGTCACAGATTTGTTGAGTGCTGCCTTGGCAGCAAGATCGGCCATTGTATTCCCAGAAATGCCAACATGGCTGGGTAACCAACAAAAGACGATGTCGTATTGGCCAGTAGCAAGCTCATTATATAATTCAATAATTTATATTAAAAGTGGATGTTTACTAGAAAGATTTTTTATCGCCTGAAGGCAAGAAAGAGATTCAGGAAAGATTATATATTGTTTATAATCAAGGTGTTTTTTATTAATATATTTAAGAGCTGTTAATATGGCGTTAGCTGCTGCTGTGAAAATAGAGCTGTTATTTGGTAGTCGAGAAGATATTGTTCTGGATCCAATGACAGTGGCACATGCCACCGCTCCACCATCCTTGAACCCATCTGTAAATAAGGATTTGTATGTATTATATATATTTTTTAATTGATTATATTCTTGTTTATATTGTAATTCATTAGTTTCAGATTTCTTAAACTGTGTCAGAGTTAGGTCCACTTCAGGCCTCACCAGTTGCCAAGGAGGAGAGGAAAGAAGACGGGAAGGAGATATATTTTCCAGCTCAATGCCGGCAGCGGAAATGAATGGTTTAATTCTTAAACCATGAGGCGGAACAAGAGAAGGCTTTTTGTTGTACAAATCCTCATAAACAGGATTAAAGACACAGTTAAATTCGTTAGAATAAAGTTTTGTTATATACTGCAAGGACAATTTTATACGGCGTTGTGTAAGAGATGGCTCATCAGCCTCGACGTAGAGACTGTCAACAGGAGAGGTTCTAAGGACCCAAGACAAAGTCTTAGACCTAGGTGGTGGACAGAATCAAGTAATTTTAGGTTGCTTTTGCAGGCTCCACCATATACGATGGAACCATAATCTATATCATACGTAATTTGATCCCCTCCCCACCTTGAAATAGAAACAACCTTTTACAAATCAAGTGCCTTCAGACATTTAGCTTTAAGGGATTTGATATGTGGCAAGAAGGTTAAAAGAGAATCGAACATTAGACCCAAGAATTTGGCCTCCTTGACAACTTTGATGGGAGTGCCATTTAAAAATAGTTCTGGGTCTTTATACGGCTTACATTTTCTACGAAAGTGTAGACAATTAGTTTTTGATTTAGAAAATTTAAAGCCGTTTTCAAGACACCATTTATTTATCTTATTTAATCATAACTGCAATTGCCGTTCAATAGTATGCATATTCTGACCACGACAAGAAATATTAAAATCATCCACAAAAGGTGATCCATCTATTGAATCGTTTAAAACCTTGGATAAACTGTTGATCTTGATACTAAATAAAGTGACAGACAAAATACTGCCTTGTGGGACACCCTGATCCTGATTTTAAATTACATTTGTGACGTCATTCCATTGTCTGCTCGCTCCATTATTTTTCAGGAATGGAGCGATGTATACAGGTTTTAAATGTAACACTTTGATAGTTCGTTTCATTTTGAAATTTAATTTTACGAGAAATACCCTGGACGAATTCCAGGTATTTGTAAAATACGAACTATCAAAGTCTTGTGTTTTTTAAAAACCACAGAAAGTACAAGGGTTTACCTATTTCTTATCAAATCAAAATACAAATTGATCACAGGTTTAGAAAACATGGACATGTCAGTCATTTGTTTACATTAACGTTTACGATGATGTTCATGGGTGCACTAGAAGGTGTTGAAGTGGTCTTGCTCACGCTCGAGGTAGGGTTGCCCTGGAGAATGGTACTAATGTCCTTCTTCTGATCTTCTGCTGTGCGTTTGTAGTTCCTGACAGCTGAGGATCGGTGACCAGTTCAGCAGATCAGCTGCTCGTCGACTCCTGCCTGGTAGAGTCGACTAGCTGCTGATGCCCGGAGAGATTGATTTGTGCGGTGTCCGGGCAGACCTGCAGTCTTGCATAGGCGTGAAAGGACTGACGTTTATGTCTTCCCAATGGTTGATCCACATACCAGACATCCCCAGTAGGTTTAACCAGCGGACGTAAGTAAAATGCGTCAGTTTTGGTTGTTGAAGGGCAATGGGCTAGGTACTTCTCAAACAACGCCACCACGCACCTGTCAGGTTTCTCCGCGTTTTCATACGCAACAACACGTGTGTTCTCAACACGGCGGTGTTTAAGTCCTCCACTGTTAGATTTCGATGTGCGTTCCGTGTACAACAGGTATCTTCCATTGCTACTTTCACACACCTGAAGCTGCGACGCGTCCCCTCTGTGCTCCTGGCCCCCGCGTAAAGCAAAATGTAATCCAATCAGGTAGGCAAGGGTGTCCAACAGCTGAGCAGGCGTGTTGCTGCCGAGACAGCCTGCAGACCACAGTACATCCTCCTCCTCTAGTGTGATAACTTGAGCTTGTCTTTTCGTCTTGCACGTCCGACTGTTAGTCTCCATCACGTTATCCAGAGTGTTGCGAATCTGACTGAAAGAGTCGTCAGACAGAAGCTTGAAACACCTGTCCAGAGTGTCCATATACAGCTGGAGACAGATGACAAAACTGTACAAGGTATCCGGGGGATATTCACATCCGTCCACTTTCTTCACTTCACATATGAAACGTGAAATGGAATAATTCAGTTCATCGCAGGTCATGTCCTCTATGTCCACAAGAATGGGGCTAATGTTGCGCTGATCTGCAAGCCGATTTCTGTTATGTTGCCATTCCTTGAACGTTTTAACAGCCCATTGAATTTTGGTCATTGTGCTGTCGGCAAATATGAAATAATTGAATCAACACACGTTTTTCAGTTCTATGTAACATCAGGCTTTTTGCAACGATTAATTAACTTTGTTAGAATCATTAAGATATAGTTTCTCCCTCATTTAACTATCTATATGGAATATTACAAATGTACACAGGTTTGCAATGTTCTATTGTTGTACTCGTGAAATCAAAATGCTAATCAAAGTTCAGTGTAAACACAAACAGACTGTAACGCAAAGATCGAAGACCGGTCATTTTGCTCTAATACGCAAATCATTTGAGTTACAGTTCGCCTGGAATAAATTGTTACGTAAAAAGATTTATACGTTAACATTTTTATGCCTACATACAACTTAAAATTTGGTAAATGTGGGATTGATTCGTGGAGGGAACGTCTCACGTTAAGAATTTAACTTACTCCCCTTTCGCACGTGATTTTCAAAGTTTATGCACATTAAATGAAACACCGAGAACAAGTAGGGTTGGTCTAAGTTAACGCTCCTCACGTACATTTGTTTCACTGTTCCATCTACTGCGCTTACCCCCTTGTAATACAAACTAATTTGAAACTATGATCTTTTGTTAAACAACTTTTATCCTAAGTTGAATAAAATTCTGAGATTTAAGTGTTCGTTTGTCAAGGTAAAATTATGAGGATTCGCAATCTTAATATCGCTTTATTTGATTTACTTTTTTGTTTAAAGTGACATTCATCGGGACGTTTTCACTGCAAACAGACTATACTTGATATTAAAACCTGATAAAAATATGACGTTTAAACCGGAACTATTTGTATCTAAACTCCTACCTTCTGTGACCGAGAGATGAAATTTCTGTATCCGTTTTCGGAGCCCTGAATCTCATGTTTGTAGGCTTCGATGTTGTTTTCACGACATCTTTTTCGACTATCTCGCATGTAGATATGAGTTCAGCGTCGCATATATCTCCAGCGAAGTCCAGCATGTCGTGGCCATTTTGGTGAAGGACATTTTGCTCCATGCGAGTCTCCAGCTGTTGGCATGTTGAAACGAATTCACAATCGCTTATGTCCGAAAATTCTTCAAAATAGGGTCTCGTATTTGAAGAGGTCTCAACAGTGTCGATTGTCGAAGCCAGGTAACTCTTCTGCGTTATGAAGAGGTATTCTTCTTCTGACGACATCTCCACGGGGAATGAAAGATTTCGAAGATCGCCGGATTTTCAAATCCACGTGTTAGGCGGACCCAACATGCATGGCAAGAAGGGGCGATGCAAATTTGTATATGAAATAATAATTGAAACGTAACCTTTCAAATCGACATTAGGGTACTGAATCTGGTTTTGCTCATATTAAGTAAATTTTCCAAGAGTCAAATATTATTATAGTTCTATATTTGATTGATAACCTCGTTTTAAAAACATCCTGCATACCCTTAAAAGGTAGCCGTACCCTAATAATGGGGTGCATTCAGGGAATGGAGAGTCATTGTTCAAAGCACGTGCATGCATGATCTGCACGAGCTAGGACCGGGAGGTGACAGGTTGAAAATACAGGCCACAAACTCCCGTAATGTGGCTCCCGACTGCTACCCCTTTATTGTAAATAGTCAATTGTACTAGCTGCGTGTATGTGTGCAAATGCAGGTTTATAGAAAGAACAAATTCGACATTATGTTTTTTGTATTACATTTGGCCCTTAAAAAATTACCAATACTTTGAATGTAATTTCAGTAGGGTAATATCCTCGTAACTCTCCATTCCTGAAAAATAATGGGCCTCGGCTCCATTATTTTTCAGGAATGGAGAGTTACTCGGACATTACCCTCTACATAATGGTCAGACAGAGTTGAACCCACTCGGACTTGAAATTGCCTGTTTCTTAAAAACTGTGATATAAAAAGAGGTATACGACCCCTTAGACCTAAGTCATGTAAATCCTTCAAAATGCCATGCTTCCAGGTCGTATCATAAGCTTTCTCGAGATCAAAGAATATTGATACTGCACGTTGTTTAGTTACTATTGCATTTTTGACAAAGGATTCTAGTCGTACCAAATGATCAATGGTACTACGATTTTTCCTGAAACCACATTGAATATTTGTAAGAAGGTTATTTGTTTCCAGATACCAAATAAATCTGTTATTCACCATTCGTTCCATGGTTTTACAGATGCAGCTGCTTAAAGATATCGGTCTGTAATTGGAAGGATCAGTATGATCCCGGCCAGGTTTGGGTATAGGGACTACAATGGCATTACGCCAGGAAGGAGGAAAGTTTCGAGACGTCCATATTTTATCAAATATATCTAAAAGTGTGACTAGACATGGTTCAGGCAAGTGTTTCAGTAGCTGATAATGAATATTGTCATCACCCGCTGCAGTGTCAAGAGCTTGCTCAAGGGCTGTATATAGCTCATGTAATGAAAAAACTACATTATAGTGTTCACCATTACTTGAATCAAACTTAAGTTTTGTCTTTTCCTGCTGGTTCTGATATCTCTGGGACATAATTTGCTGATGAAGAATGCTTGGCAAGAGTTTCGCCAATCTTATTTGCAATTGTAGATTTATCAGTTATTAAATTATCACCATCTTTATGATGGTGAACCGCAGATGTTGAACCTTAGCCTTTAATTCTTTTAACCATGTTCCATACTTTGGACGTTGGCATACGTGAATTAGTTTTGGAGACACAGTTCCTCCAAGACTGTCGTTTGTTTTGTTTAAAGGTACGACGTGCCTTCGCATTGAGTATTTTAAATTTATTTAAATTGTGGACAGTTGGGTGATGGCGAAAATAATTCTCTTCCCTTTTTCCTCGCTTGCTTACAATCTGTATTAAACCACGGTTTCCGTACATGTGGACATGTAGAGGAATTAAGTATACACTCATCAGCTATTTCATATAAAACGTCAGAAAATACCTGAATAGGATCAGCTATATCACTGAAACATTCAGGTCGTAATTTAATTGTGCATAAATTTTGAAATAAGGACCAGTCTGCCTTGGGAAAATTCCATCTTTTGTAAGATGGAGAATCAGAAGGATAAATTTCTGACAATATCGTTGGAAAGTCGTCACTTCCACAGAGGTCATTGTGGACTGACCAATCAAATTCATTGAGGAGGTTAGAGTCTACAAGAGACAAATCCAGTGAAGAGTAGGTGCCGGTTGCATAGAAGTGCTTGATTCGTCGTTACATATACATAGGTCATTATTAGAGATAAAATCTTCAAGTATTCTACCTTTAGTGTTAGTGTGTGTACCACCCCAGAGTGGGTTGTGGCCATTTATATCACCCATTATAATACAGGGTTTTGGGAGTTGGTCGTAGAGATTTTGAAGATCAGCCTGTACAAGTATTGAAGACGGCGGGATATATAGAGAGCATAATGTAAAAGTAACATGTAAAGTAAGTCGCACTACAACGGCTTGGTGATAAGTATTAAGTGTGACAGGGCTATGGATAATATTCTGGCGAACAAGGATTGATGATCCTCCAGTGGCTCTCTCACCTGCAGGAGAAAAACAGTGATATCCACTGAATTGACGCAATTCAAATTTGTCTGTCTGTTTTGGATAAGTTTCCTGCAGACAGAATACTGACGGTGTAATGTCCTGTACTAATAAATGTATTTCATTGAAATTTGTCTCGAGCCCTCTACAATTCCAATGCATTAGTTTATTGGAATAACCTATCTTTTGGGGGGAATGATTGGGGATCTACCCCGCTCTTTTTTCGTTGGCGACAAGCCATGTGCCCTTGGATTGAAGTTTTCGGACACTTCCATATCCTCAAGTGAACCATATTTATTATAGAGTTTAATTTGCTTATCTGATCCCTTGATACTGCCATTTTGATGTTTTATCGAAGATTCTGGTCTTGGGTTACCTTTATTTTTACTGACTTGCTTGATATTTGTACATGGTTGAGACGATGATTTCTCGCGTGCTACAGCTGAATCGTGATTACCTATTCAGACTGGATGAGTAAATTGGGGAGTGAGTCTTCTGCAGTGCATCATATGCTCTCACAATACCCTCACCTACAGTAGAAATGGGTTATTATGCCAAGTGGCAAAGGAAAAAATAGGTACAGGTAGCCAGTAACTGGTCATCGTAATAAATCAGTTTAGGAAACTAGAAGAGACTATCTACACATATGATTGATGGCAGATATATTGTCTGCACCACGAACTTAGTCCTGAAAATGTGAATGCAACAACATACATAAACATTGTACAATTTCTTTATTCTTTTATGAGAAATATCTCTCAGCAAACAAGTACTCGGGTCAGACAGGGCGTTTTAAATCCTATAGATAGTTGATTTTATGTTGACTGTTCAGAGCATGACGATTTAATATAATACATGGTAGGGTTGCGTTGTTAAAACTTACATGACAACATAACATTTACTCCATGGGTCATCAACCTAATAATAACAGATTATATATTATCAACTTCAGTGAGTAGTATATAAGTAATCCAGATAGCACAGACAATAGCATTCCTAAGAGAACAAAAACATTCCAGTGCACAACAATAGCATTCCTAAGCACAACAACAGACATTCCACAGGAGTACTCCTTAAACTATTCAAGATATTTCAGTCATACAATAGCATTCCACAGGAGCCCTACTTAACACTCCTGAAAGTATTCAATCTATTGACGTTGCGGTGAACAAACATTCCAGAGGAAGAAAAAAGCATTCAATAGAATACAATAACATTCCAGAGGACAAGAATAAGCATTCCACAGGAGCGCTCCTTAAAGCTCCTCAAACTATGCAAACTATTTATGTCGCGGTGAACAAACATTCCACAGGTAGAATAAAGCATTAATAGAATACAATAAGCATTCCACAGGAGTGCTCCTTAAAGTTCCTGAAAACTATTTAAGTCCAGGTGAACAAACATTCCTCAGAATAAAAGTATTCCACAGATGTAGAGTGTTAACCAACCAAACTGTATGTGTACCACTGTATAGCCAATCAGTGCGCTCATGCTCTACACAATCCCATCATGCACCTTCTAGTATAAGTAAGTTCAGATCAGTTTCATCGCCATCATAGACCAAAAGAGTTCTAGATAGACATCTCTGCTTGCAATTAAATATGGCACAGAAGATATTTGACCTTCGTCGTGTAGACTTTTCAACAGACCAGTTACTCACGAGTACGTTTCAAGAAGTGAAGGATATTCTTAATACTCAGCTCCATTTGCACGAAACGATGATGCGAACAAGCGAGTTGTATAAAGCCACCTACACAGAGATGTCCAAGAGAATGAAGACCTTAGAACAGAAATGCCCATCGCTATCGCCTGCTCTCATGAGCTTGATGTTGGATTATTCAAAAATTGCTGTCACATCTGATGATGGAAATTCAAGGAACAGAAAACGTCGATCACCCAACAAGTTTCTTGCTAAGGCTAAGAAGCCAAGGAAAGTGAAGGAAGAGAAAAGTGGTCAGAAGCAGAAGACCAAAAAGAAGAAATTCACTCCAGCAACCCCTTTGCAACCAAGGTAAGTGTATAGTTTATCACTGTGTTCATTTTGAATATCTTTTCATTTACTTACCTGTTTCTGTGTTTGCGGTTCTAAATTCTCCAATCTTATTTGTTTTCTCTTTATTATTAGGGAAATGGTAGAAGATACTGAAGCAGTGTCATTTTCATCCCTCATGGTTGATGAACCCACTTTAAATGACGTGTGGTTGGATTACACTTAACTCATGGAGGACATAGAACAGCAAGAGAAACAAGTCACAGACTGCAAGACATAGAAAATAGTGAAAAGATCGTATGTTATGTCTGAGTTATTAATATAATGTCCACATGTTTTAAGAAGTTATGAACATTCACATGACTGATATCAAAACCTTGGTGATAGGTACGTCAGTGAACGCGTTTTATTCAACTATGACGCGTTTTTAGTACAAATAAATCCCTACCCATAAACTCCACCCAAAAAGGTAAAGGCAGACTGTGAGTCGTCGTGATATTTTTTCAATAGAACACTATTTCAATACATACTCAGTGAGGCGTGGTGTGTGTGTAGATTATTTCTGTGCATCTTTGAAAGAGTTACTGCTTATAACATGGAAAAGGAAGAATGTTTGAAAGTGTTAGGTTTAGTGAAAATATGTTAATTATAGAACAAACTGTTACTTTGACAGATG